TTCTCAGCCCAAACCTGTATTTCACCACATCCTACAAAGAAGTGTCGGTATATAGGCCGGCACTGCACTGGTGCGCAGCGGCACAAGACTAGAATACTGTTTTTGACTATTTCAGTCACTACTAATTTGATTCAATACATACAACATTCCAATGATCTGAATCATTTAAATGTTTCCATTTGACATTTCGAGTGATTGCAATAATTGAATGACCGATTATTTTTAATTCGAATAATCCCATTACTACTTGATAGACAATCTAGGTCAACTGAGGATAACATGACCGCCTTGTTATCGACAGAAATTAATGGATTCAATTGAGATATGGGATTTATGATTATCTAACATAATGAGATTGTTACTTTCAGTTGAGCAGTTTGTTTGTCTTTGAATATGCTCCAGAACTTTAGGAAATAGATCGGAAGTCATCCAACCACTACGATGCAAACAAAAGTTATCAATTCCCCTCTGTCAGAAGCTGTTAGACTGACTTGTTTTTCACCATTAGTGGTAACCACTTTTATAGGCTTCATCACAGTCGTTAACAGCAGTGTATTTGTTTAAAAAAACTTAGCAAATATTGTTTTATAACTTGCCAAGCTAGTATTTTCAGACTTTCTCAATGAGATCTGGTTTTTATTTTTTCACATGAATGCTCTTACCCAATATTTACAATTTGGTGAGGAACTGGCGTACTCAAATGCCAATGTTTGAATTTGCAAATATGTTAAACCGTAGTTCATATTTGAACACTTTTGATGTAACTAACTAATTGTGCTTTCTGTTCGTTATAAAAAAACTTGTCATTCGGTATATTTGCTTGAATATACATTTGAGTGATCCTCTATGCTTTCATTACCAGAATCATCATATTAATATATTTTGGATAATATTAATGTAATTTAGATAACTTTGATTTCACCAAACTTTTCTTTTATTGCATAGGTATCCGTAGGTGTGAAGAAGAAAGTAGAAGGTACTGCAAGGTACTTTAAGTATAATATCAAATCATTGTAAAAAATGACCCTATGTTATACTTGAAGAAGAAAAAAATGTTGATAACTCTTTCCGTTAATATATTTTAGATAATATTAATTGAATTTAGATAACTTTGATTTCACCAAACATTTCTTTTATTGCATATGTATCCGTAGGTGTGAAGAAGAAAGTAGAAGGTACTGCAAGGTACTTTAAGTATAACATCAAATCATTGTAAAAAATGACCCTATGTTATACTTGAAGAAGAAAAAAATGTTTGATAACTCTTTCCGACAGGGCTTTGAGTGCGTTGGCGGAGGCAATAAAGTTCTCATTCTCCAAAGGTATGTTCCCACCGTGTCTAAAAATTGCCACAATCATTCCTTTACATAAAGGAGGCGATCTTGACAACCCAGCTAATTTAGGCTAATTCCTTTGCTACCCGTCTTGTCTGAAGTTAAAGAAAAACTTGTAAAAAAACGAGTGATATCCTTCCTCAAGAAAAACAATATAATAAAATTATTCAGTTTGGCTTTGTCTTCAAAATGAACACAAGACGCTATATTTTAGCTCCTGGAAAACCTGTACACCAATCTTGATGAAAGAGAATCTTCGGCGGCCACGTTTTGTGACCTAACCAAGGCCTTCGATTATGTAGACCACATGCTACTTCTTCGCAAGCTAGAAGTTTACGGATTCAGAGGATCTGCATTACTTTTATTTGAGGCGTACCTTTCTTATCGGCGACAGAATGTTCTATGAGATGGAATTTCATCAGAGGAACGTTTTATTGGCGGTGGGGTCCCACAATGTTCTGTTTTGGGATCGGTGTTGTTTTTTACTTATGTCAATGACTTAGTCCATGTGGACATGACTGGTAAATTCACAAGTTTCGCTGATGACACCACTATCCTCTGGCATAGTAATACCGCCTCAAATTTACTTGATCAAATCATATTGCCATAAGAAGGTTGAAAGACTGGTGTGATTCTAATCTTTTATCATTCAACATTGACAAAACAAATGTCACGTTTAGATGTAGCATAGGAAAAGTACTCTAGGAAAATATGAAAATTGAAAATTTGGAGGAAAACAAATTTTTAGAGCAAATGAAAATCGAAAATTTTATTTCCATGTCGACTTTTTATGTTAGATACTACTATTACAAGATCACTTTATTTTGCACAAATTCAGTCCTATTTATGTTATCGAATTTGTTTCTGGGGAAATTATGCACTATTTCGTTTTAATATGGTATTCTCTCTACAAAAAAGATCCATCAGATATTTATGCCAGGCTTGCTAGAGGTATTTATGCCGTCCATTTTTTGTGAAGCAAAAAATTCTGACCTCAGTATGTCTTTTTATTTTGGAAACAGTGTGTCTTATCCACAAAAAATATAAAAATCAATTTAATACCACCTCAACTTATAGTACACGTGACACGTGTTTCGATCTCCAGTAATATTAATTCTAGTGGCGTATATTTTTATTTCAATTCTTGAATACAGTGTTCCACGTTTCACATTAAATCGTCTGGCAGCTTGTCTTTGAGACATATGTTTTCGGATAATCTGGTTCAAAGCACATTCCATATCATTCTCACTTATATTAGCTCTATTTGTCTTCTTTTTGTGAACACGTACCATCTGAAATGTAGAATATACACACTGATCAGAATGGATCAGGGCACACATTCAACCACCAGTTGAATATGCCCTATGTATCCAACCAGCTATAGCTGGTTGAAAGTTCCTCTCCTGTATTTGTTGGGATTCGTCATTATTTACTTCCAAACGTTTCAATTTGAGGTTAGAACAGCCTTGCAATATTAATTCGGTACAATATGGAGAGCTAATGACAAATTTGGTATTTATAGTTTATTAAATATGTGAGTGTTATTATAAAATTTTAAAAAAATGTAAAAATTTACCTTAATATCACAAATATTGCACTTTATTTTTTATCTTAACCAGCAACTTCCACAGAGCAACTAAAGTACACATGAAGTATCGGTGGGTTGAAACAAATTCGCAGTATTATTCACGAGCAGAAAGTTTGAAACGTAAGTAAATTATGGCAACTGGTTGAATTTACCCCACTTTCACCTATTTGTAGGACTTGGCATATCATTTATAGCTTCAATGCATTCTGATGTAGAATGTTATCCTTCTGCATCAATTTTGTGACCCAAAACTGTTACACAGCTTTATAACCATCTACACTTCGATTATTGTGTTCCAACTTTCTAAAACTTGTTTTAGTCGTACCATATGTAAATCCTTATTGGGTGCAATTATTAAAATATTCAAATAGCACAATGTTTCTTCAATATCTGCTTGAAGTTGGTCCTTTAAGTTTTGCGATAATAACCTCGGATTGTTGATGTAACTGAATATTTCCTTGAATCAGAAAGATATGCAGCTGAAGATATGCATCCTTCAGATCGATTTTGAAAAAATATCTGCCTCCGCTGAGTTTTGACATTATATATTCAAAGCATATGGATTTATCGTTACTGAAAAATCCCCATAAATACGAATGTTTTCATTCAAATTGATTGCCAAAACTATGGGTGTTGCCCATTCATATCCAGCTCATCTTCTGCAACTAAACGATACAGTTCAGCCCTCACCTGTTCTTGTAAGACTATAAGAACTGGTCTTGGTGTAACTGCTTTCGATACAACATTTTCTTTCACGTGTATCTCAACTAAGTGTTCACGAACTGCTCCAATTTTTCCATTAAATAAATCACTAAATTCCTCAAATATAGCTTCATGTTCTGAAACGTGATTAAGGTTGATTTCTGTATCCAAAATAATGTATGAATTCTTTGTCCGATTTTCGAGTGGTTGGATTTTTTTTGTTTTTTCTTTCTTGAATTCAGCATAGCTCTTCTGGTGGAAGAGGTATGTTGAAAGCAATACATCAATCGAGACCAAATATAGGAATGTCGACTGTAGCGAAGCCTGTTCCAAAATAAGTCCTGTTGCTTCAATTTCTTTTAGGGTGGCTGTATTATTTGGATGTTACCTAATTAATTCCTTTAGCCAGGCCATGTTGTTGATACCAATAACTAGTTGATCTCGAAGATGTAACTTGAAACTATTGGAAAATTCACAATTTTTTGCCAGTCCACAGAGAATGTTCATGAACTGCGTAATGGTTTAAGTGTCCCTCGATAACGAAGGGCAAATGCTACTCTTTCAGACAAAATATATTTTGTCTTACCATATTTGTTTAGTACTTTCACGATATTGTTAAAAGATTTGGTTGTCACTTCATCTGGCTTAAAATGATCAACCAAAATTTTAAAATGTTCAGGTCCTACCTTGCTCAAAAGCAAAATACGTCGTTTCACTTTAGTAGGCTCATCATTTGTGTCCAGACCATGAAGTTGTAATTCCATTTCGAAAAGTTATATGTAATACTCCCAGCCCTCTTTTTCCGGAGAAAATGCATATTGGCTAAATGAGCATTATTGTTTAAATAATCCATTTTTTCAAAATAAGTGTTTTTTACTTCTACTTGCGGAAACTTCAACAAAACGTCTAACTGTCACAAAATATGTAATTACCAAAACTACTCACAAACGTCAACGTGAAAAAAGCAAAATATTCGTAATAACTTCAATATGCATCGATTATCAAATAATCGACTTGAAGTTTTCAAGTCCAAATATTTAGAATCTTTAAAAGAGAAAAAGACGTGTAGGTGGCGCCTCCTACGAGTAAGATCAATAAGAACATCAGGTTCGAATTCGACACCTCAAAAACCTCCTATTACCAAGTTTTGTTTAATTAAGTTCAGTATTTCAAAAGTTATTTGAAAAAAAAACGAAAATTAAACTTCAACATCCTGTATCTTGGAAACGAAGCGTTTCCGGACATTTATTTATTTGGACAATTCATATTAGAATATTGTGAGGAATCACCTCCTGAAGTTTGTCAAAGTACTTTTGAATCACCCTGTATAGCACATATGTAAAAATATGAAAATTTATTGAAATTTTTTGTTACAGCCTGCTGACTGCCTCATTAGTCAAGTACTCACTTTCGATTTGACCAACTATGAACAATTTTAACCAGGAAAAAAGAAAACTTTGTTTTGTATAAAATAATGTTTTTCGAACATATTCCTAAGGATATTGTTTTTTTCTTTAAAGGTTATTCTATATTTTGTAGTTTTATGTATGAGTATTTGAAATCAAATGTAAATTTTTCATTAATGTTAAATAAATGTTTTGTATTTTTTCATATCGACCAGGTTCGGGGTGAATTAAATTGGTTCTGGAATAATTTAATAGTTTTATTAAAATAAATATAACAAATACACTTGAAATTATAACATTAACAACACCAGACTTTGAAATTTTACAACTGCTTCTCCAAAACGGAAAAAATTGATTGTGTGTAACTGCCTATGAACATGAACTGAATTTCCATAAAGAAATTATATGGAATCTCCTCATTCGTAAAAAATGACATTTATCAACCCTCAAACTACCACTTCTTTTGTTTCACGTCTCACTGATCAGTATTTTTTGTTCTAACGAAAATGTTAAGAAAAATATGATATTGAAGTACAATGGAGTCAAAATAATGCTTTTCTTATCCAGGGAATGCTGTGAAAATTGAAATGTTCCTGGTCATAATAGAAAACCTAACACATCAAATTAAAATTGAAATTTGCCTTTGGTGCATGATTAAGAAAGTGGCGACTGGGGCTATGATAATCTGAATTTCATACCATAATAATTTTCATTTACCAAAATATTTTCAATAGGGAATACATATTGTAATCAATCAACAAAAAAAAACTATGGGCAGGAGTCTCGAGTTAATTCCACAACTATCAATACTATCATGACTCTTTTGGAACTTAAAATATTTTTAAAAAACAATGACCTGAATGATTTATACTTAAAATAAATTTTGACTACTACTGGAAAAATTATTGCAAAAAGAAACAGACCTGTGAGGCAGGTTTTGCAAATTTGACTAATATAGTAAGGAGGTAGAAAAAATAATGAAGCTTTCTTTACATTTTGATTATCAACTACATTTTAGAAAATATGGCTACCTATAAAATGTTAGATTTTCTTTCGAGTTGTACAGATGATCACCAATATTATTCAGTCACTACCGTTATTATCATTATGTCATGGGCGATGAAACAAGTATTGAATTAAAATTTAATATACCAAGATTTCACTGGGTGTGATGTCATGACATTTTATTAACAACTATGTACAATCAAGTTTTAACTACGACACGAATATTGAGCTTGAACCACATCTTCCCAATGCCATGCAAAAAAAACAGCATATTATTAATCAAGTACAGGATAATCCTCTGATGACCTGTCTAGTTTACTTTTTATCGAGTTATTCAAAATCTGTTATAACACCTAGGGTTATTTACATGTTAGTTACTTCCACGGTTGGAGAAAATATGACAATAAATTGATAGATGTAGCCGTTACTACGTGGTACGAGATCATCATGAAAAGTTTCATTTTTCAAAATATGATAAAGCTATTTTCTGGACTTTTTGTCAGTAATAGACATTTATTAGTGGTGAGGAAACATAAGTAATATCTGGGGTTCTAACCCTGATGAAGTGTGCTGTGAACACAAATAGAACCATGCATATATAACTCCACCCCCTTTGATAATGTTGGAAAGGAAAGCTTGAAAACATGTGTCATGCAGTCGACAAACTTCAAGAATAGTATCAAGGAAGTAGTAGCTACATAGAAATTAATGTTCAAAATCACATCTAATCGATTTTTCCTTTCAGAGAATTTTAGTAAACTAGACTGGTTTTACAAAAAGGTGATGTATATTAATATCCCAATATCAGAGAAAACCTGAATGATTGTATATCTTAATGTGGTACTTTCTTAACTTTCATGAATCTTAAAAATTACTATCAGTCTCTCTGGTGCAATATAATCAATCTGTAAAAAATAATTTAAGGAACAGAGATTCATTCATCAGCATTCAAAGAAAACAATTATTCAGTCATCATTCACATCAATAAGAATTGTTCCATAAGTATAAATACCTTTGCAGAAGAGACATTCATCAGGCAGCACTTTAATATTCATGGGTCATTAGTGTTAAGGGGGATTAATGTCATTTTCAACATCAAGTTCAAATATTTAAATTTTTTCCATATATGGTTTTATTGCAGTAAGAAATTATCACGAATGACATCTAGGCAGGTAGTTAAAGCTAATATTCAAATTAGCTTTATTTTACCTTTATTTTCAAAATTGTCATCTGGCAATGAAAGTTCATTGGTCCTGTTACATTTTGAGTGTCTCTTCTGTGAAGGTATTCTGAATCAAAGCCTAGATATTATCGAAAATAATTTGGTTGCAGAATGATCAAATTGAGAGTGCAAAAGTAAACAAAAGACGCGATAGTTTTTTTATTGAAGTATACCGATCAACAAGAAAAATCAGTAAAGAAACAATGTCGTTAGGAAAAGGTTTAACCAGTAACAATTTTTTTCATCACCATTGTGAAACATATTTTAATGAAAACATTTGTTGTTGTGAATTTATAATAAAAGATGGACCATATAATTTATTTTCAATATTACAACTTATTTTTCTCAGATTGTTCCATTTTGAATAAAGCTTTGAATAGGAACTATAAGAATGAAAAAAAATTTAAAAAGCGGGATTGATGTTTTTCTGTATTTTGGTTATTGAATATCAGCCTTATATGTAATAGGACGCAAAAACCGTCATATGAAAACATCTGACACTCTCCAAAAGTAATGAAAAATAACAATGAATTTGTACTCAAATTTGCAGCAAAAGTTTAAAACAAAACAATAAGCACCAGATTATTTTAGATTAGGATTTCCCAGAGGGGTTGATGACTTATAACTATTGATACTTGCCAATGGGATAATACCAGAGATGCCGCCTGCGAGTATTTGAGGTTAGACAAATAGGTGGAATAAGCGTGGTATATCACAGTTCAACATTTGTTTGGTGTTACTTCATCCTCTGATCTACAGTGAAAACACTGAATGTTCTACAGCACATTCAACTTCAAAATGCTGGTACATATATGAAATACAAATTCTGATAGGTAATAGCTAAATATACTTCACGTTTATATGAATGAACTAGTTTAGTGGTCTTTTGACTAGACCACGGGAATACAGATTTATGTAATTTAAAAAAAGATACTGAAGGAACATTATTTGATATTGAAAAATATCAATCATTAAATTTCTAGTCTGCACATGAAAATTAATAAATTTATGAAACATAAAATCCACTTTTCTTCAACCCAACCATGAATACTATTCACAAAAATTAGTCTTTTTTCACTACCGAGTCAAAAATTCATAGGAGAAAATCTTGAGATTCGCTAAGCAAATTTTTTGTAAAATATGTTTAAAAATATACATTCTACCAATAATCCCAAAATGAGCTGAATGTGCTGCCAAAATTCGGTTTCCAATGTTCAGATTATACATAAAAACCGACCCGTTCGAAACGCCCTATTCGAACAGGTGACATCTTGGGTCCCCTAATTTCAACAAACGCACGGGCATCATTCACTCTCTTCAATTAAGCATACCACTAAAATTTTTTGAGTCCTCAGTAATTACCTAGACACGACGGTCGTGCCAGCAGTCAGATCGACATCAAAATCTAATACTAACAATTTGGTCTCCTCGGTACCGTTACGGCTCCCCACGGCACACACGAGCTTAGTGTCTGTGGCGCGGATACGCCAGACTACACCACCAGCGCCGCCACTTTCTAGTGCAACAAGATTACGGATGAATTTGCCTGTCTGCACATCCCACAGCTTGACGGTGCCGTCATCTGAAGATGTTATCACGAAGCGGTTGTTGAATTGAAGACAAGTTACAGCAGACAGGTGTTTGTTACGACCTATGGCAGAAAGATTTTACATTAGAATTTATTCAATTTAGCAAACTACCATTGACGTATTTTCTATTTTTGACCTTTTTGAAAGATTTTTTTGTTCAATACTTTGCGCAAGATATTTGTATTGACAAACCATAATAATGATAATAATGGTAGCATTTATTGCCATTTATTGCCCCTTACAGAGTAAAATTAGAATAACAAAAGTTGCAGAAAAAGAAAAATAATGCTACTACAAAAATAGTCAAGTCAAGTCAAAAATGTTTATTGGCTTTTAAGATTAATTACAAAATATTGTGAATGTGTTTTGAGTGGGGCCCTGCTATAGGCTTATGCCTCTTCAGGGTCACAAAAATAGAAAACAAGCATGTCTAATTTGCTTCAAGTTATCCCAGATTAAATCATAATAGTGAAAATTTTATTAAAATTATGACACATTGTGTCATTGTGTAGTTCTTGCTCGGGAATTTTTCTGCCTAAGAATTGTGTTACCTTGAAATTTAGTTGGCTTAGTAGATCAGTACAGTCAATAAAATTATAAACCATTTTATGGAGGCATGAAATAGATGCTAAACATATTCTAAACTCCAAGTTTTCAAAGTCGAGTCTGTCCTTCATTAACTGGTAATATGTTCCCTGCTGTAGATATATAGTGTCAACTTTAAAGGCAAAATATTTGAGGAACTTTTTCAATCCTTATAATGTGTGAAGCTTAGTGAGGACTCCATATAGAAGAACAACATTCTAACTTTGACCTGACATAAGAAAAAAAAGAGTTTTCAAGCCAATAATGTTGGTACATTTCTGCAATTGTACAGTATAAAACCATACATCCTAGATGCTTCTGAAAGTATAAGATCAATGTGCCGAAGAAAACTCAGTTCAGAATCAAAAACATTCCCCAGATCAACGGTCGGCAACAGGCGGACCGCGAAACGTCGAACCTCGGAGCCCTGAATATTGTAATGTTTTGTATTCCAAGTATAAATCAATACGTAGATAAGATATACTTTACCTTCAATTATTGAAATAATATTTTCAAGCCACATAGAACTTAACAAAGTACTTATTTTATTTTAAGTTGCCTAGTTAACTTGTTTTACAAATACCTACAGTTTTCTATCTAGCCTGTGTGTACGTGTGTATTTGTGCAAATTAGTTATAATTTTAAATCTTTATTACACACACAAAACATCCAAAGGTTGAACCACATACTATTTTAACGGAAATATGCACTTTCAACCCAGCAATGATTGGCAAAGAAAAGGGTGTAGTAAAGAGAATCAGGGATAAAAACCCAGGTCTAATATAGTATCACTGCTTAATTCACCAGGTAGCCCTTTGTTGTAAACTTAGTGCTACACTGAAAGAAGTGATAGACAGCTTGGTCAAGTTGAATTATTTTGTGAGATCTCATTCTGCTCTTCAGCATCGACCTTTCAGTGTATTCTGACTTACTGCAACATAACAATGTTCATTGACTAAGTAAAGGTCAAGCTATTGAACGTTTCTGGCTAAATTGTGTTTGTGAAATTTCTGGCCGATCTCAAGAACAAATTTGCTACAAGATTCAAAGACTTTACAGAGGTGGGCAAGCTATCACTGTTTTTTAAATCGCCATTCGAAGTTGATGTAGCGGCAGAATGAACAGATGTGGCTGCCAAGTTGTTAAATCTGTCAAAGCCATCACTTCATCAAATAAAGATGATTGATTCGCAAAAAGATGTATCTTTGCAAATGTATAAAACAGTATGCCCTGAAGAATTTTGGGTCAAACATGTTCCAGAAAAATATGAAAATTGCAACTAGCTATTAATTTGGCCACTATGTTTGACTCGGCATATGTATGTGAAACATCTTTATCAAAGAATGTTTTGTAAACAAATATCATTCAAGATTAACGGACGCCTACCTAGAATACACACTTCGAATTTGCTTTTCCTCTCGAGAACCAAACTATAAAAAACCGGCTCAAGACCGTCTATGTAGTTTCTCACATTAATTTGAGGTCTGGTGTTTTATAATTGAGAATTTGATTTGAAAACAAAATAATACATAGGTAGCACTTCATTATTATCACTTCTTTTTTTCTGGACCTTGTTAAAATTTTCCCACAGTATCCGGACCCCACCTAAAACTACTTGGCGACCCCTGCCCCAGATCTTTTATGGAAGTATAAGACAGTTCCATTCAAATAAGATTCCTTTGACTGGGATCAAATCAATTAAGCCAAAGAATGTCATTTCGTTCTGTCAGATGATATGAGTACATTTAACTCATTCGTGGAATGAAGTTGTAATGTTATGAATGAATTGAGTGTATCATCTTGTATTGTTATCCAGATTGGTGCTGGAAAGGCTATAAGGAGAGTGTCTTATTCCGAATCTTCGATGTCCGCCATTGCGGATGACAGTGTTCAATGTAAGTGAGATTTACATTTCATATACTATATTGTGTAGCAAGCAATCCTGTGAATTATATCTTATTCAATTTCGTAACGAATGTTTGGAGTATAAACCATATAGGAAAAAATGTGTTTTGAATAACTGAATTCCATACAAAAGTAGTTGTTTCGAAAGCACTTTTTTTATAAAAATAAAATTTTGCTTCAAAATGTATCATTTCATAATGAAAGCTACCTCACCTGAAAGCGTCTGAAGACATTGGCCAGTCACTATGTCCCATACCTTGACTGTTGAATCAGCATTGCCTGATACCAGGATATTATTTCTTAGTTCCATGCCAGATGTTAATGATTGATGGCCCATTAAAGTGTGTTTGCAGGCGCCAGACTCTACTTCCCAGACTCTTATGCTAGTGTCCAAGGAACCACTCACCACATGTACACCATCGAACTAAAACAAAAAAGCGTTGTTTTTTTTCAAATTTGTTAAATCAAAACAAATATTTCAAGACAAGACAAAGGAGAGCTGATCTTATTATAGTAACTATTGGAATCGTCCTCATTCGATGTTTATAATCACCAATATTCGGAATTCAACAACATAGGAACTCAACGAATATCTCAAACCTTTTACTAAGTAATCATAGGACAAATGTATTTAAAGAAATTTATTTCAGACAAGAAATAGGGTATGTGCATATATACAAAATTTTGCATATGTTTATAAAATATAGAAAATTCATTCACAATCATTTACAAGTATGTTTATTTATTTCAATATTTGGGTTTATACAATGTAATAGATTGTGTGTATACAATATTTATTGGTTGTGCAGTATTTCATGCTATTTTGGGGGGTTTTTAACTTCCGTAATCTAAAAAGTAAAATAAACAGAATCAATAGAGAATACGTTAAAGCAAAAGTTCATCCCCAGTCCAATCAATTAGTAACTTATCACTTTTATAAATTTAAATAAATTCAAACTTCTGTATCATATTACAAACGCTAGTTTCTTTGTATTTAACGATTAATGGAAAAGTGAAATGTATATACTTAATAAATTGATGGATGTAGCCGTTACTACGTGGTAGGAAATCATAATGAAGAAAAGAGAATTGAAATTTTCTGTTTTCACCACTTTTATTTGTAACTAACGTTACTACAGTTTCGTCCTATAAGGATATTTTCAAACTTATACATTAAAGTAACAATGGTTCATTACATTGAATGTTCTTTAACTGGAGTGATAATCAAAGAATGTAAACTTTCCGTGGCCGTGATCTGCAGGTTTTTAGGCCTGACGCTTCATCTATTAGTGCGGTAGACATTATCAATGGCGATGTGGTAACGGTCGCAGTGCCCGAGTTGGTGCTCGAATTGTTGTTTTCTCAATGTTCCGAACGCAGTAACTACAATGCTGTTATTTGACTGGTTTTATATTATCATTATTAGTGGACGTGACTTGGTTTCTCTCAATTGGATGACTTGACCTTGTTTGTGTACCTTCAAGAACAAGTAGCCAGGCTTTATTAATGTTCATTGCCCCTTTCCTATTGAAATTATCCATGTGTTTTTTAATTCATATTGCCTCTCTATATACTTTCGGATAGTTTTATCAAGTATAAAAATTTTTAGAACTATCAATAGAAAATAAGACAGATTTGAAGATAATGTTCTCTCATCCCAAATATGAAAAAAGTTAATAAAGAGTTAATAATTTGGCCAATGATTACTAGAAAATGATTTCGATCTTATGGTATTTTTCGACGACTGTCGACTGTCTTGAGATATCGCCCTTTAAATTATTGCCAATTATTAAGAAACAGAAATTGAAGAAAATGAAGCCCTAGATGTTATGAATCAGCACCATAATGGTGCTGACATCAGAATATATTATGTGTGCTGGAAACCACGATTTTTTTAATGCTGCATAATTATAAAAATATCCTTGGAATGTTTGCAATATTATTGTTTTGTAACAGAATCAAAGGTTTTTTTTAATCGCAAAAATTACTTGAAAACGGTGAGGAATCGGACCCCAGGTATATACACTTTTTTATCAAAAATCATCTTTCAGTTTCGACTGTGACTTAAGAAACATTGGAAAATATGAAGTCTGTTGACATAATTTGCCTTTACATCAACAACTGGTAGGACATGCATCGTGATTTGTAATATCATTTTTAAATATTAATTTTCTTGTCTTTTATGCAATTGCAATTTGAAATACAAACAAGTAAAGCCCAATAAAGTATCCAACAACAAATTTCACAATACAAAAAATATTTGGTGTCCTACCAATCAATAACAATGGAGAACAAATACTAAATAACTGTTGACCTAATAGAGGCATGGAGAAAACATTGAAATTATCACAGTATTTGTTGAACAAAACACATATCCTAGTAATTGGAGAATTTTTATCTAAATTTGTATTATAACTTGTACTATAGTCCATTCGGTATTAACCGAGAGTGAAAGAATTTCAATAATGCAAACATGCTGGTACATCAAAGAAAGCAAAATGTCTTCTCAAGTCACTGAGATATGTCCCTTGATGACGCCACTAAGGAGCTATTGAAATAGTGATTTGCGACAAAAAACTTCAAAAGAAGCGGCTGACGCTGTTTATCAAATTGCGTTAAAAATAGTAATAGGCGTCGGACTGGGGGTATTAATATAAATTTTCCAATGATATATTCTATATGATGCGAAGATAAAACTGATGTTTAAATATTTCAGTTTGAGGACAATTTATATTTGAAATAGTTTTTTATTTACGATTGTTACCTTCTACAGATCTATAAAATAATCAGAATATTAAATTTAAAAATATATACAAATGTAGAAATGCAATGTAGAAAGGATAAAAAAAATTACTGTATTCGATAAATTAGATTTTTTTAAAAAAGTTTTGGATTGTTCAACATTCCGGCTTCAAATTTGAAGTCATTTTCAAGAACTATAAAAGTGTGGCTGTACTGAGAGACATACTTTAGGGTTTTGATGTTCTGGTCTTGCCAAACCTTCGAGATGGTATAACCCTCATTGACCCATGTTTCATCCAAATGAAAAATAGATTACCCAGTGTTCTGGCTTTCTTTACAGTGTACTGTTCTCCTAATAGAATTCTTGACTTCTTCGTTGATAACTAAACACTTTTTGCCAATGGATACTTTCGACTCCAAAAAGCTGTTGTTTTCCTTGAGTTTCCTAAGGATTCTAAAAACTGTCAATATATTGACACCGGTTATACTCGCTCATTTTTGCACTACTTCCTCCTTACTTTTTATTTCGAGCGGATATTGTATTCTTGAAGAGTTATAAACATTTATAACAATTGTTTTTTCATTTATATTTAAAGCCGACTGTTTGGGATGCTTCATGGTTCCTGAACAACTATCTTCCATGTTGTATAGCTTTTTATTCAACTCGCTCTCGAAGTAAACTGAAGAATATCACTAAGAATAAGACTAACCCCTCTACCATGAGCTTTAAACTACCAACAGAATATAATGTGATATTTTCTTCATATAGAAAAAGCCAAGTCGGTCATATTGATGGCTTGAAATTTTTTTTTCAATATCCTTCAACTAAATACTTATTTGTTGGAGAATGTCATGATTACTACTGAACATATTTTCACATTTGTTATTTTGTTATGAATGAGATTTTTCAAGAATACATTTTGTATATTCATT